TCATGAGGGATGTGCCACTTAGGTGGCATTATCTCCACACAGCACTGTGATCATGAGTTTTTTTGTATTTAACATGGTCTCAGGTCTGTTTTTTTGGGCAATCTCTGAAGTGACAGCCACCAACAGTCCCTCTATTATGCCCAAACAATGCTTTTTCTGGACAGTGTGCACAAATATTTTGCCAATTATCAGGAGTTGTATAAGTGCTCAATTCCAAATAGCCAAAATGAGAAGGCTTGTACAGTTAATGTCCTGTTAAGTGTCTGCTGTCAGCACAACAGGCACCAACCATGGCCACTGACTCAGACGACCTGTAAATAGGTTATTTTGTTGCTGTGTATTCATTTGACAGCTGCCACAGTACAGCAAAGTTGTGCAGGATCCTTCTCATTAAAAGCAATTGTGATTTCCCTTTACTTCACAGGATAATCCTCAGGACTTTACTGCTCCTGCATAGTTCTCAGTGCCCCACTCGTTCCTCCCTTGACTCTTCATGTACCTGACAAAATAAAGATCACGAGGCTGCCTCCTTTTCATGAAAATTTCTTTTGAAAACTTTCTGGCAAATCTCTAAATTTGCTTTTGACAGAAAAATATACATCAATGAACTGGCATATTTCATAACCAGCAAGAGCAGGATAGTGAAGACTACTCTCAAGTGCTACTTTAGCCCTTGGTCAAGCATCTGTCACTGTCAGTGGCGTAAGCAAGTCTGGCACTAGCACAAGGGAATTTTGCCACTCTTGCTGAGCAGCTCACTTAACATGGTGAGATCAGTTACCTGGGATTGGTTGCTATTACATCTCATTGTGGGTTCGACTATCATTAGAACAAGCTATGCACTGGTTAGGCCTCATCTGGAGTACTGTATCCAGTTCTGGACAGGAACACTTAAGAAAGATGAAGACAAACTGGAAAGGGTTCAGAGGAGGGCAACAAGGATAATGCAGGAACTGGAAACAAAGCCCTGTGAGATGAGATCGGCCTCAGGAAGAGAAGGCTGAGGGGAGATATGATAGTACTCTCCAAATACTTGAAGAGTACTAACACAGAGGAAGGCCAAGACCTCTTCTCAAGCATCCCAGAGTGCAGGACACAAAATAACCAGCTCAAGACAGGAAGCCAGACTCTGGCTGAACATCAGGAAGACCCTCCTGCCTGTTAGAGCAGTATGACAATAGAATCAATTACCTAGGGAGGTTGTGGGTTCTCCTAAACTAGAAGCATTCAAGATGCAGTGGACAGCCATCTAATTTGGAGTTCTAAACTCAGAAGGGAGTTGGGCATGATGGTCTTCTTGGCTCCCTTCCATTCTATGTCTGTCAGGGTAGCTTGGTAACCACCAACAAGTCACCCTGTGGGAAGCAGTCTGGGCCTGTACTATGCAACAACCCATTGTGGATGGTTCTCTTACAATGGGTTGCCATATCATACAAACCCAGTCTTTAGGCATCATAGTATATGAGTCACTTGTTTTGAGCAAACAGTACTTTCCTTGTACAAAGTTAAGATTGCTAGTCAATGCTGAAAAGCTAACTTCTTCTCTCCTAAATCATCAGTTTAAAGGATAAATAATCCCATTGCATGCTATTTTAGTATTCCTCCATTTCTTGGTGCTCTTATCTTTCAGACACAGGCAACTTGCCTGGCTTTTAAGAGTAAATCCTTTGTTATTTAAACCTGCAGGGAGAGAGTGCAGCTTTCCAAATATTGGTCTTCACCTCCCCAAGACCTTGTCAGCATGGCCCATTGTTAGTAAAACTAGGCGCTGAAGTACAAACCATCCAAAGATCTACTTTCTGCCCACCCTGATGTAAACAAATGTGAATTAAATTTACTTAGGAAGAATTGTGCAACGGCCTTCACAAAGCTAAACTAAAATCAAGTTGAATTAGTAATTCATGCTTTAGAGACAATTACTCAATGTGTTTTATAATCAGCTACTAAAGAAAACAATTTGCCAAGTCTACTTCTCAAATTGATCTGGATAATAAGAGCATATGCAGGTACAAAATATTTTGGTACTTATCTCGCTCTGATAATGCAACTTTATAAGGGGACACAAATAAGTCATACCAACATTGGACAGGCAGTTCCCATTTTGTTTGTAAAGATGACCAACAACTCTACAAAGTCTATGTTCAACTTCTATGCAAATCTGACTCCTCATGCTCCAGCCAACCACCTCAAATTGCTTGAAGCTTCCTGATGCTCAGGAAATGCTTACTGTGGAAGAGGTTAGGTTGACTTTAATCTGTGGTAAGGAGAGGTGGGAAATTCCTTGTTCAGTTACTTCTTTGGTATAAGCTACTGTCATTTACCATTAGAAGTATCTAAATCTTGACACATATTCTGGAAAGTATGTGCACATGTGCTTTCCAGGATTGGGCATGGAAAGAGGCCCACATTTCCTTTTCCATAAAAGGAATCAGAAATCAAGAATATGTAATCTACAAGAATATTTTTCCCCTCAAGATGTAGTAGATTATCCATTAATACACTTGCTTAGATATAATGTGAGTCACCCCTCAGATGGTAAAACACAAAGAAAGAAAGCCAGCCAGCCAGCCAGCCAGTCTCTAAAAGGGAAGTGAAATGAGAATATAGGGGGTTTTTTCCTTCTTCATTTTGTGTTTTAAACAACCAAGTCACACAGAGCAGGAAATCGCTGTCAGTTGAGGAACTACTACTCATGTTTTGCAGAAATGAAATCAATTTACAGCCTACAATGCAACAAGAACCTAAACAGTACAATTATAAACTCGCTCAAGAAAAAGAGCCAAGTCAATACTTCCACTTTTTTTATAAAATAAACCATCTAATTTTAAGGGATGTGTGTGTGGGGTGTGTGTGTGTGTGTTCCAGAAATCTACAGGAAGCAAATACTTCCTATTTATTTATTTATTTATTACTCTACCCTGAAGAAGTAAGGGGATTGGCATATTTCCATTATCTTTTTGCCTCGGGCAAGATGGAAGTCAAGTATCTGCTCTCCTTTTAATTTTCCTCAGAGCAGAAGAGCAGAAGGGTGGTGCAACCCAAAGACCCAAGTGTTCTTCATTCTCTCCAGTCAGTATTAGCACAATAATGAGCTAAATTAAAAAAGGAAATCTGGGAAAAAGGTGCACAGAGCATTCCATTTTCCTTAGCCAGTTAGAGCATAAGAAAAGCCATGTTGGATATGACCAAAGGTCCATCTAGTCCAGCACTTGCTGCACATGGTAGCAAACCAGTTGCTCACAGGATCTAACCTCAAGCAAGTTGGTGCAACACCCCCTCATGCCCAAGCTCCTCAGCAACTGGTGCATGCAGGCATGCCACCTCTGGTAAAGGAGACAGTATACAGCCAGCAAGGCCAGTAGCCACTGGTAGCCTTCTCCCTCATAGATGTGTCCAATCCCCTTTAAAGCCAGCCGGATTGGTGGGAGGTTCAGGAGGGATAAAAGGAAGTACTTTTTCATACAACTTAAACTATGGAATCTGCTGCCACAAGAAGTGGTGATGGCCAGAGGATGGCTTTAAAAGGAGACGGGGCAAATTCATGAAGGAAAAGCTGATCAGTGGCTACTAGCTTTGCTAGCTGAGTGCTACCTCCTTTACCAGAAGTGGCATGCCTACATACAACATTTGCTGAGGAGCTTGGGCTAGTGGATGTCTTTCACATCCTGCTTGCGCAAATCTGTGGGCGGTCAGTTTGCCACTGTCTGGACAGAGTGTTTTATTCTTATGTTCATATGTTGAACTCTACACAATCACGTCTAGTCTCAAAGGATTCAAGTTGTTAGACAATATTAAGAACAACCACTGATCTTCACTAAAAAGGACAAAACAAGTAGATGAGGCTTAAGAAGAGATAGAAATGCCACCATTCATTCAAAGATAACCCACATGTTCCCCCCATCTTGTGCCAATTTAAACACTTTATATTTTAAATAAGAACAGAGAAAAGTATAATCTGCAAGAATATAATCAAGTAATATACCTAATACGGGCAAATGATTTGTTCTTGACACAATCCCTGCAAATACCTGAATTATTTACAAGATTTCTCTGCACTAGTGCTTAACTCTGTACACTTCATGAGCATGGAAATCATACCTGGCCAGCCTTTTCTACACTGAAATAGGTTACTAGTATGCTAGTGACATAATGAGTAATTTGATTTGTTTGATTTTTCTGTGCTTAAAATAAAATGCATTTGGTCCAAATGTAACATGAAATGGTTAGTCTTGCAGTGGGGGCAGGACCAATTATATTTTGTTATTTACCACTACAATCAACTTTATGATGCACACACACACACACACACACACACACACACACATTAAAAAATTCTTCATTTTTTTTCTTGAGGTGATTAAGCAAATGCATGCATTCGCTAAATAAGCCTTGATTGCACTGATACCAACAAAAATCATGAATATAAATTAAATATAATAACAAGCAAACACTAAATATATATAGATGGTAGGATCCAGTCAAAACCAAATAATACATTTCCTAGTAACAGAAGAGATTTTAACATTGCAGAAGTATAATGCATTTCATTGAAGAAGTAGCCTTAAACAAGAGAAGCCTGTTTAATTTCTTACTTAGGAATCCAATGAAAGAATTTGTGCTACTTTTCCTACCCGTTAAGACTACTACAGCTGCTGCTCATCTCTTTTACGGAAACATGCTGATACATGACAGTGAGAACAAGAAGATCAAGTCTCACCATTCAGCTCCAATGAAGGAAAAACAGCTTTAATTAAAGGATGATATCCTTAGATTTGTAACAATCAAGGTGTTTAACTATAAAACTGTTGGGTCTGTCACCAAATGACATTAAATGGCAAGGCACAGAGTATCAAGTAGTTTGCAAAATCTAATTGTTCCCAACAAAACCTGAAGTTTTAAGCAGTAAATCAATCATTGCTACCTAATGTTAGTGTAGAACTTGCGGACAGCATCTGCAGCAGTAATACTGCTTTGTGGCACTAGCAATGTTTAAAAATTACCTTTAAAGCTTCTATGACAAGATCTCTGGCTTCTAGTTCCCCTTCAAGAATGCTGAATAGTGTCAGTAGTTCAGGTTTGCTGAGTTTTTCAAGATTCATTGTGAATACCTGGGAAAAGAAATAGAAAATTTAAATAGCTTTGGGCAGCCATCAGGTCTATATTTATAATGAATAAATACATATACACTGCAAGTCTGAAGTTTCTACCTTTCCAGATTAGAAGCTCCTTTGCCCAAAATACACACAAGCAGTGTTTTTATCAATAGCCACCACAAATACTTTCAAATGAGCAATAATTCACCTTTTCTCTTAGGCTCACAAACATATGCATAACCACATGATCTGCATATAACAGGTGCTAACAACAGCACAACAGTCTCTGGGTAGAGTCAGAGTCAACTAAACTAGTTTTTTTTAAAGTTATACTACAGTGGAATTCCTGTAACTCAAAATATTTAACTTCAGGTTCAAAAGATGATAACTATGCAAACAATTGGCTTACTTAGTGTGAGCATGGCAAAACCACTCAAGTTACACTGCTTACAGAATTTCTCTAACAAAGTTCCAAGGCATTCATTTACATGGGAATCACTGAAATTTTTCCTACTTAATAAGTTTGGAATCCCAGATATCAGACATTACCATAACGTAAATTGCCAGAACAACATTGCCTGTCCAATATTCCTTATTAATTCTGAGTCCAACTCATCTTAGTCTGTCAACATACCTTCCCTCTCCCAAAAAAGATTACTGTGAGCAAAGCCTTCAATTTATAGTGCACATATGAATTTTCGCAAGATGATAGTTTGGACTGCTAGAGAAACAGTCTTCCTAAGATGCACTAATCTAGGAAAGAGGTTTCCAAAATGCTTCACAACTACCCATACCATTTTGCATGTTATTTCCATTATTCCAAGTACATTCAAATGAATGAAGACATACTCAGGTTTGTTTAAAGTACAATCATTTTCCAGCTGCTGCTCTACATGCAAAAAATGTTTATACTAAACATTTCGTAAGACATTTAAAGCAGAATCCTACTGACTTTCCACTGCATTATTAGATTATGTCCATGCTAGTGTTCAAGATAAAGTGTTAAATTCTTCAGAAGAACATCAAGAATTTGAAAACCAGGAAGGACAGATAAATACATTACTGATCTCCACAACATGAAATAGACTCCTCAACATGAAAGCATGGCTATGACATTGTGACTGCTTCAAATCCGGTGTAACAACTCCTTACAACTGCCATGATACCAAATATTTTCAATGCCACAGATAAATAAGTTGGCTTCCTAGTGAAAGTTTGGAAAACTCATAAATGTCTGCTTTCATAATGTTCAACAAGACTGAATAGAACTATATTGGTGCTGACACAACAGTGGAGGAAGTTTGCTGGTCTTGAATTAACAGCCAAATAGGATACACTGCACACACTCCTTTTTGAATCCCTTCCTTAATGAAAACTTTTACACAGTTAGTAAAACTTCCTTGCAATTTCAACAGGATTTTTTGGCTTTTTTTCCTTTTTATTAAATCAATTCATAAACAAAAGCAAATTCATAACATACACACAAATAATATACAATACAAATAAAAAAGTTTTTTTCTCCCAAACAATTAAAACTATACAATAACAAAGACAGTGCATTCCACTATTGGAATCATTAGTTACATGTTAATTCATTTGCTCTCTCAGGAGGCCCTGCTTCCCTTCTAAAACTGCACTGAATCTTGCGAGGGTTCAAAACCCTTCCCTTTTATTAAAGGATTTTTAAAGTCATTGCTATATAAAGCAAACTATGATGGAGTTAGATCTTAAATGAGTTTTAAAAAACCAAGCAATCTGATATAACTTTACTGCTCTAAGCTAAAAAGTACTCATTTTCTCCTGCTTTCACAAGTGTTTGATAAGTTGTAGAAAGCTTTTCCAAGAGGATACAACTTTTAAATAAGCCCTACCTCTAGAGTGAAGGATTGAAATCAACATAGTGGAAGGTACTTAGCAACCCCAACTTGTTTGTTCATAAGCAGTAAACTGATGTGTAGATAATTCACTAATTTTAATAAACAAATTGTTAGGTTTATTTGTTATAAATTTTGTTATAAAGGATGTCAAACTAGATAGATTGGAATATATCAATTAAACTTCAACAAAGGCAGACCACATATCCTTATATTTATCTACACAAGAAGGATGTCTATATGCTATATGCTCAAAAGTTGGAAGTGTTGTTAGGTCCTCAAGCCATTGCATTATAGGAGGTCAGAGCTTAACCTTCTGATATTGTAATATTAGTAATTAAAAAGGGTGCAGAAAATCTATTTACACTGATCATGAGTTAACTTCCAGAAAGCAAGTAAATAATTTAAAAAAATGCATGTATCAGTAAATATTAAAGAGTATCCCAGAGTAAATAAAAATCAATGTTTTTAAAATAAAAAAATCTGATTTTAAAAATTAAATCTGATTTTTGGGCAATTTCTCTATCTTGAATTTATTTATTTATTTAAGGTTTTTATATGCCATCCAATCCTAGACGTCTCTAGATGGCTTACAAAAAAACAAACAAAAAAAAGCAACCCTACAACACACTGCATCCGATAAGTGATGATAAAATCAAGGATAAAACCAATTAACTGTTAAAGTATTGGGAAAATAAAAAAGTCTTTACCTGACACCGAAAAGAATAAAGCAACGGCGCCAGACAAACCTCATTGGAGAGCGTATTCCATAGTCGGAGCGCTTCTGTAAAAAGGTTCTTCTCTGAGTAGCTACCCTCCTAATTTCCTTCAAAGAGGCCTCCCGGAAAAGGACCTCTGCCTCAAATCTCAAGGGGTGGGCAGCAAACAGGTGCTCCTTCAGGTATCCAGGACCCAAACTGTTTAGGGCCTTATAGGTCATTACCAGCACCTTAAATTGGGCCCAGACGTCAATTGGCAGCCAGTGTAGACAATATAAGACTGGTGTGATACGGGCGTATCTGCCAGTTCCCATTAATAATCTGTCAGCTCTATTCTGGGTCAACTGAAGTATCCGGACCATCCTTTTTTTTTTTGAATAAATTTTATTATTATTTTCTACAAACTAAAAAAAAGAAACTAAAAAACATCAATCATCAGAAACATCAGACCTGCTGGGTCAGCCCCCCCGTTTTTTTTTCATAGCAATCCATAAATATATTCAAATCTATGCATAGTCCCGTTTCTCTAGCCAATGAGTATCCGGACCATCCTTAATGAACTTCCTCTATCAATGGGTAAGGCAGGCATGTGTGTGGAAAACCATGAGAGGCAGGTGATGTAAACAGGAGCAGTGCATGCTGGATTGGGTTCCCAACTGTGGGGGCTGATGGGATACATGTTGCAGAGACTACTGTTTAGCAGGTACTTTGAAAATTTGTGAACACAGGACACAAGGTAAGAAGGGTAACTGTGCAATTCCACTCATGTTATGTATAAACAGCTCCACTGACTTCCACTAAAATACCTCACAGAAATGACGTGAGAATAAAATGGAGATGAGGAAGACCACATAAGTCCCCTTGGGTTTCTTGTAACAGCAAGAAAACTGTACTGCAACCCTAATTGCTTGGAACCCCCTATCTGAGCCTCAAATTGCTTTTATAGAGTATAAACTTGTATGAAGAAATCTAGTAATAGATTTTCCATAACATATTGAGTTTGGCTGTAGGTTTAAAGCTTTTGTCATCACTGAAAATTCAAAGTATATTAGACTTTGACAACCCATTTGTCAAATCAGTTCACAACAATCTGAACATTATGCTCAACAAAGGAAATGTTAGTGTTGTATTTCTCAGCAATATTAATTGAAACATATATTGTAAATAATTTGTAAATTGTGACCAAGCACAGTCATGCCAGAAATGATGGGCTATAGATCATCTGTATTAAACCTGGAAAAAATGGACTATACCATGACAACATAATTTGATAAAAAACAGCATTTCTGAAGTGTAGTATTCTATGAAGAGGCTAATCAAAAGAAAACTTGCTTGCATCACTAAGATCAGCTCAGTTCAGCAATTTGTAGCAGCTGTTTCTCGGGGAAAAAAGTTAAACCAAATCTGAAGGTTTTGTGTGTTATTTGCTTGGAATATACTACAGTGGCCAGAAGCCAGCATTTTCCTGCAGTTACTGGAGATATTTCCTGTTCTTCTCTATTCCATGACAAAAAATACCTGTTACTGAAACAAGGCTCCACTGTGCACAAGCTCCATTTAAATTCATTGTATCTAAGTGACACTGGAATTTTTACTGCTACTAAAACTCTCTAAAAAGCTAGATGAGATTATGTTGCTATGTTCACATAAGGCCAAACACATTGCTTCCTTGTGGTATGGAAGCAATCATACCTGTAACAGAAATTTAGAAATGTATGTTATTTCAATTTATCTACACCTCTGAGATTAAATTGTTAGCTTTAGGTTCCAGTTCCTTATTCATTTGCCTTACAGTAAACCCTCCAACATTTGATGGGACAATTTTCTAATTATATATGTGTAAGATCATCACATCTCAAAACACTGCATGCAGAAACCTAAAAATGCAAGTCAAAATAAGAACATAAGAAAAACCATACTCAATCAAACCAAAGGTCTATCTAGTCCAGCACCCTGTACAAATGGTGGAAAACCAGCTGCCCACTGAATCCCTCAGGCAGAATGTGAAAGACCTCCTCCTGCCCATGCTTCTGCACCAAAGATTTGTCAATAGGAAGAAAGATGTTGGCAGTTCTATTTTTTATTCCATTCCTAATTATGCCTAGCATAAAATATGCCTTCTTCACAACAGCTGCACATTGGGCTGATATTTTCATCAAGTTTTCATTACTACCCCAAGATCCCTTTCTTGCTCTGTCACTGCTAGCTTAGATCCCATTAGAGTATATTTGAAGTTGGGATTTTTTAAAACTGTATTTGCCATTTTGATGCCCATTCTGCCTGATTGGAGAGATCTCCTTGGAGTTCTTCACAATCCCTTTTGCTTTTAACCACTCTAAACAGTTTACTGCCATGAGCAAACTTGGCCACTTCACTAATTACTCTTAATTCCGGACCACTTATGAATCTGTTGAAAAGCAAT